AAAAATGGTGCAGCAGCTTTGGAAAAGTGTCTGGCAGATCCGCACTTATTAAACATAGAATTACCCTGTGATCTAACAGTCCCATTTCTAGGTATGCGCCCAAGAAAAATGAAGGTATGTATCCACACAAAAGCTTGTACATGAATGTTCAGAGAAGTGTTATTGATCCATCCTTAGAATTATTGAGAAACAGCATTCTCCCCAAATGAAGTCAACAGGATTCTCTGTAATGACTTTCAACTTTGTGAATGTCCTTGAACAACTCCTATCAACTAATCTAGCTTGTGTTTTTATTTATCCCATCTCAACTAAATCCTGTAGCAAGTATAATTGTGTGTATGCTTTTATTTCATTTTTTATTGAGTATAGTTGCCACAACAATGCAAAGGAAGAGACAGAAAGTACACTGAAGAAAATTGTTCCTATTCTACGAATAGTGATTTGATTTGGTTCAAAAGTTTATGGTGAGTGAGAACCATTCTTTTAGTGCAATGCTTTTTGAGTAGTTTAAAATTTAGAGGCTTTCCAGGACAAAAAAATTTTTTAAAAGTCTATTGTGACTCCTGTGATGCTGTGACTAAGATTTTATGGAACACGTAAATCTTAGAAACTCTTACATTGGATGATATGGTCTCATAGATGACATGTGCAAATTAATACCTATTATTACTAAATATAATTTAATTAGACAGTGAACAAAGCTAAGCTGCAGTGATTAGGTGAAATTATATCATGTTCTTATATTTTTCTTTAATGAAATTTTGGTAAGATACAGCTCACGTATACATACATGTTCACAAATCATTCCACGTGCATATATATCCAGAAATCATAAATGCAGAGTTTTTAATATTTTTTTCATTGAGTACACTTTTAAAACTACTAACCACACCAAGAAAGAACATTGTCAGTCTCCCAGGAGCACCTTCTGCTTCCTCCTGGTCATTAAGTCCACTCTTCCCCAATGCAACTTCTACTCTCACTTTCAACAGCATTGATTAATTTTGTGAACTTTTGAACTTTATTTTAAAAATCATGGATAATGAGCTATTTTTTCCACTTTCTTTTGAACCTTTATTATTCTTGTGACATCTATTGATGTTCTTGGATGTGGTAGCACTTTGTATAATTTAACCATACATAGCATCTCATTGCATGGATGTACCTCATTTTAAGTATTCATTTTACTGTTGATTTGTATTGATGTGACCAGTTTTGAGCTGTCACAAGCAACGCCAGGAGTATAACTATACATCTGTTTCTGTGCACATCTCTACAAGACTTTGGGTGGAAGGGCTGGATCATGGGGGCTTCATATAGCCAGTGTCAGTTCTCAAACTTGTGCTGCAACTTTATATTCCCAAACAGTGTGTGGACATTCTAGTTGCTCCTTTCTTCACTGCATTTAATGTTGTTAAGTTTTTTTTTAGTTTTTGTTATCCTACTGAATGTTTAGTGGTGAGTTAGGTGTGTGGGTCTTTAATGATTACTGATTTGGAGAAACTTTTAATTCAACCCACCCTGCTGTGCAGCACCACCTTTGCCATTAAAAAAGTATAAATATATGTGTTATTTTGTTTCTGAATATTCACTTCTGTTCCATTTGACAATCGGTAACTAACACCAGCTCATAGTCCTGTAATTCAGGTAATGTAAGTCCTGTTGCTACTTCACACTTGCTATGCCTATTGTAAATCCTTTACATTCCCATGTAATATTTAAAATCAGCTTATTAGTTTTCATTTAAAAACTGTTTGGGATTTTAATTTTTAATATATTTAATAAACATATCAACTTGTGGTGAATTAACATCTTTGCAATGCTGTGATATTTAATCTTTTAATATAATATGGTCTTCCATTTATTTATGTTTTCTTTGATTTAGCTAAATAATATTCTGGGGATGTCAGTGTGTTCTGCTATTTTTTTATCTGAAATATTTGTTATTTTGATGTTATTATATTGGTATGTTTTGCAAATTTAATTTTAAGCATTTGTTGCAGTTATGTAGAATTGAAATTGATTTTTTGTGTATTAATCTTGGATCCAACAGTTTGCTATTTCTCTTATCAATTTTAATAATGTATCTGTAGTCTAAACTTTTCTCTACACACACTCCTTTCATAAGTGAATTATGATAGTTTTAATTCCTTTCCAATTTTTCTTCTTTTCTGTTTATGTTGTTGCCTTATTGCACTGTCCAGGACATTTAGAGTCATACACTTATGTGAGTCTGATCCAACACCATTTATTGTGAAATTGTGCTTGCACCAGGCTGTGCATCTCTGTCTGAGAAAAAAAAAGAAAAAAAAAAAAAAAAACACCCAGAAATAAGAAGTGAGATGCTAAAACCGAGCAGCCACCACAGCATCTTCCTATAAAGGAAGCAGGAAGGAGCTGGTATAATCAAGTAAACACTGAAGGTCTTGCAGAAGTTTTTGACTCATGGTGAATCACTGTGGGTCACCCATTACCATACTAATAGCAGTGATAAACTGCAAAATCTTCAGACTCCAGTCTGTTGATGGTGACAGTAAAGTCTGTCCCAGACTCATATCTACTGAACAGGGCTGGGGTGCAGGTGGCCCTGGTACATACACCATGAATGTGGGGCCTGGGAGGCTGCCTGTGTTTCTGCTGGTACCAGGCTAAGAAGCTGCCAATAATCTGGCCCTGCAGGTGAGGGTGGCTCTTTCCTCTGGAGGCAAAGACTGGGAGCTGGAGTCTGCATCATCACAACATTTCCAGTTGTATCTGAGATTAGAGATGAAACAGAAAAGTCACCCATGCAATCTAGATCATACCCTTTGTCTTCACAGTAGAACAAAGACTGTTGATCAATATTGAACTTTAATTCCTGTGCTCGCTGAGCAGAGGTTCCAGGACACAGAGCCTCAAAATACTGAGAGAGTTTTCACTGACATGCGGGACTACACCATGTTCCCTTCACTGGGGAGGCAGAGGAGCAGGAGAGAGAGAAGGCAAGCGGGGGCTGCCATGGTTCACTCTGTGTCTTCACNTTTAGTGCAATGCTTTTTGAGTAGTTTAAAATTTAGAGGCTTTCCAGGACAAAAAAATTTTAAAAAGTTTATTGTGACTCCTGTGATGCTGTGACTAAGATTTTATGGAACACATAAATCTTAGAAACTCTTACATTGGATGATATGGTCTCATAGATGACATGTGCAAATTAATACCTATTATTATTATATATAATTTAATTAAACAGTGAACAAAGCTAAGCTGCAGTGATTAGGTGAAATTATATCATGTTCTTATATATTTCTTTAATGAAATTTTGGTAAGATGCAGCTCACGTATACATACATGTTCACAAATCATTCCATGTGCATATACATCCAGAAACCATAAATGCAGAGTTTTTAATATTTTTTTCATTGAGTACACTTTTGAAACTACTAACCACACCAAGAAAGAACATTGTCATTCTCCCAGGAGCACCTTCTGCTTCCACCTGGTCATTAAGCCTACTCTTCCCCAATGCAACTTCTACTCTCACTTTCAACAGCATTGATTAGTTTTGTGAACTTTTGAACTTTATTTAAAAAATCACGGATAATGAGCTATTTTTTCCACTTTCTTTTGAACCTTTATTATTCTTGTGACATCTATTGATGTTCTTGGATGTGGTAGCACTTTGTATAATTTAACCATACATAGCATTTCATTGCATGGATGTACCTCATTTTAAGTATTTATTTTACTGTTGATTTGTATTGATGTGACCAGTTTTGAGCTGTCATAAGCAACGCCAGGAGTATTACTATACATCTGTTTCTGTGCACATCTCTACAAGACTTTGACTGGAAGGGCTGGATCATGGGGGCTTCATATAGCCAGTGTCAGTTCTCAAACTTGTGCTGCCACTTTATATTCCCAAACAGTGTGTGGACATTCTAGTTGCTCCTTTCTTCACTGTATTTAATGTTCTTAAGTCTTTTTAGTTTTTGTTATCCTACCGAATCTTTAGTAGTGAGTTAGGTGTGTAGGTCTATAATGATTACTGATTTGGAGAAACTTTTAATTCAATCCATCCTGCTGTGCAGTGACACCTTTGCCATTAAAAAAGTGTCAATATATGTGTTGTTTTGTTTCTGAATATTCACTTCTGTTCCATTTGACAATTGCTAAACTAACACCAGCTCATAGCCCTGGAATTCAGGTAAAGTAAGTCCTGTTGCTATGCCTATTGTAAATCCTTTACGTTCCCATGTAATATTTAAGATCAGCTTATTAGTTTTCATTTAAAAACATTTTGGGATTTTAATTTTTAATATATTTAATAAACATATCCACTTGTGTTGAATTAACATCTTTACAATGCTGTGATATTTAATCTTTTAATATAATATGGTCTTCCATTTATTTATGTTTTCCTTGATTTAGCTAAATAATATTCTGGGGATGTCAGTGTGTTCTGCTATTTTTTTATCTGAAATATTTGTTATTTTGATGTTATTATATTGGTATGTTTTGCAAATTTAATTTTAAGCATTTGTTGCAATTATGTAGAATTGAAATTGATTTTTTGTGTATTAATCTTGGATCCAACAGTTTGCTATTTCTCTTATCAATTTTAATAATGTATCTGTAGACTAAACTTTTCTCTACACACACTCCTTTCATAAGTGAATTATGATAGTTTTAATTCCTTTCCAATTTTTCTTCTTTTCTGTTTATGTTGTTGCCTTATTGCACTGTCCAGGACATTTAGAGTCATACACTTATGTGAGTCTGATCCAACACCATTTATTGTGAAATTGTGCTTGCACCAGGCTGTGCATCTCTGTCTGAGAAAAAAAAAGAAAAAAAAAAAAAAAAACACCCAGAAATAAGAAGTGAGATGCTAAAACCGAGCAGCCACCACAGCATCTTCCTATAAAGGAAGCAGGAAGGAGCTGGTATAATCAAGTAAACACTGAAGGTCTTGCAGAAGTTTTTGACTCATGGTGAATCACTGTGGGTCACCCATTACCATACTAATAGCAGTGATAAACTGCAAAATCTTCAGACTCCAGTCTGTTGATGGTGACAGTAAAGTCTGTCCCAGACTCATATCTACTGAACAGGGCTGGGGTGCAGGTGGCCCTGGTACATACACCATGAATGTGGGGCCTGGGAGGCTGCCTGTGTTTCTGCTGGTACCAGGCTAAGAAGCTGCCAATAATCTGGCCCTGCAGGTGAGGGTGGCTCTTTCCTCTGGAGGCAAAGACTGGGAGCTGGAGTCTGCATCATCACAACATTTCCAGTTGTATCTGAGATTAGAGATGAAACAGAAAAGTCACCCATGCAATCTAGATCATACCCTTTGTCTTCACAGTAGAACAAAGACTGTTGATCAATATTGAACTTTAATTCCTGTGCTCGCTGAGCAGAGGTTCCAGGACACAGAGCCTCAAAATACTGAGAGAGTTTTCACTGACATGCGGGACTACACCATGTTCCCTTCACTGGGGAGGCAGAGGAGCAGGAGAGAGAGAAGGCAAGCGGGGGCTGCCATGGTTCACTCTGTGTCTTCACNGATGGTGACAGTAAAGTCTGTCCCAGACTCATATCCACTGAACAGGGCTGGGGTGCAGGTGTTCCTGGTGCATACACCGTGAATGTGGGGCCTGGGAGGCTGCCTGGATTTCTGCTGGTGCCAGGCTAAGGAGCTGCCAACACTCTGGCCCTGCAGGTGAGGGTGGCTCTTTCCTCTGGAGGCAAAGACAGGGAGCTGGAGTCTGCATCATCACAACATTTCCAGTTGTATTTGAGATTAGAGATGAAACAGAAAAGTCACCCATGCAATCCAAATCGTACCCTTTGTCTTTACAGTAGAACCAGAACTGTTGATCAATATTGAACTTTAATTCCTGTGCTTGCTGAGCAGAGGTTACAGGACACGGAGCTCCAAAATACTGAGAGAGTTTTCACTGACATGCGGGACTATGCCATGTTCCCTTCACTGGGGAGCCAGAGGAGCAGGAGTGGGAGAGAAGCCAAGCTGGGGCTGCCATGGTTCACTCTGTGTCTTCACTGAGGCAGATCCCCCCTCCCCGCCTCCCCAGCTCTAAGCCAGGCATTGATATGGGCTGTTGACAGCACTAAGCCAGGCATTGATATGGGCTGTGGACAGCAGGGTGAGAATTAGTAAAAGAATTAGCAAAGAATAACACCCAATCAGGTCCAGCAGTGTGATTGAAAGGATGAGCACAACTGCACAGATGTGCAGGATACAGGCTCTAACCCCTCATTATACCAGCACCATTTCCATAAGGACAGACAATACTACTGTCCATGCAGACAAAGAACTATTCCTTGGGTGATCCTCTGTTTTCTGCACCGGTCCATTCTGCATCATCCTAGACACAAATCCTCCTCTCCATACAGTTTGAAAAACCTATGCTTACACTCCTGACCCTCATTATGTATAAATCTGTTGCTTCCTTAAAGCAGTTAAACTCTTGCTTTTCCAAACAAATTTCATGCCTCAAGGAAGAAGTATGTTACTGGAACAAATGTGGCTGACAAGAAGGGCAGATGCAGGCACAGACACACCTTGGAGATATTGTGGGTTTATTCCAGACCACTGCAGTAGAGTGAATGTCATAATAAAGTGAGTCACTTCCAATACTGTGTTGAATAGGAGTGGTGAGAGTGGGCATCCTTGTCTGATTCCTGTTCTTAAAGGAAAAGCTTCCAGTTTTTCCCCATTCAGGATGATATTGGCGGTGGGTTTATTATATATGGCTTTGATTATGTTGAGATACTTTCCGTCTATGCCTAATTTATAAAAGGGTCTTTGTCATGAATGAGTGTTGGATTTTATCAAATGCTTTTTCGACAATAATAGAGATGATCATACGGTCCTTGTGTTTGATTTTATTAATATGGTGGATCACATTTATTGATTTGCGTATGTCGAACAAACC